CTCCCGGATCGCTTCACATACTTCACAAATCTCATCTGGAAAATCCCAATCCTAGCCTCACCAGCATTGACTGATTCACTCGCTATGTGGGTTTGGTCATGATGCGTTGCAGCGCGCGCGGCTTCAAGAAGTTGTTTATGGCAGCGCGGTCAGCTCAAGGGGCTTCACAACTCGCATTCCCCTGATTCTCCCGTAGTGTCTGATTGGAGCGCTTTACTACCCCACATGTGCATGTCATGCGAACTTGCATGTGATACATGGCCGAGCGCTCAGCTTAATGTTTTTACGATTAACATTCCCACTACTATCCCATCATGGCCGAATGAAACCTGCCACATACATCTCGTATTTCCTTCATCCTCCAACACTAGCTTCTTATGAATTTACCAGACCGCTGATATAACCATAGGTATCCGTTTTGACAGCCTTTGCTGCAGGTGGCTTGGCTGCCTATACAGATCCACTATTAAATCGACTACGAATCTGCAGGAAAATTCTGCCATCCTGGTCCCTTGATTTTCTTTAAGCGACACCTTGACGAAATGCGCGTCAAATTAAAAGATGAATTCTAAAATCCCGGGCTCCCTGTTTTCTCTAAATACGTCCTTGACTAATTGCGCGTGCAATTTCACAAGGAGTTCACACATGCTGAACTCTAATCGTTGTCCATGTGATGAATTGAGAGGTAAAGTCTCTGATCCTGGACGAAATCTTAAAACCTGGGCTCCTTGTCTCTATATACAAACCTTATTATGTTGTGAATCTAGAGGGCAATTCATTGATCCTGGTTTCTTTTTTTTGTATGTAAGGCTCTACTAAAAGAGCATCAAATTTTAAGATTACGATTGCCACTACTAGTATTATTACGACTATTTTCACGATTATCTTTAATATTGTTGTTTCTATTATTCAGCACTGACTATTGTTATTGCTATTATTACTACCACTGTTTGGAGCCCTGGGGTAGCCAGTGTGATTTCTGATGTCATGGGCTGAGGCAGGGCCCGGGCGCGAATCACAACTGCATCCTGCCTCATGTTGGAGTTTCTCAAGCCAATCCCCATAGCGTGGATGGTATAAACTGTGCATGACCATAAGATTTTCTGGGGGATCATGGTATGTTGGCACACTAAGGTCATGCAGTGTTTTGAGCATCAAGAGTCTTATGGCATGTACGAGGGCCACTCCGATAGTTTCCCTACGAGCATCAAAAGTCCCAGGGTCCGTTGAGGTACGCGTATTTGACGCATGCTCCATGTTGCACGAAGGGTCCTGGTACATTATGATCATGCGAGGTAGGCTGTCGTCATAGTTTTCATAGGAGCACCATGAGCTGTGCCCCCCCACCCCAGTATGCGCACTGCCAAACTAACAAGCTTCAATGGGCCCTAATGGTCCCCAATACTTCCTAATAAGGCCGTTGACTTGTTGCGGTCCCATGTAGTGCGGGTGGCATAGTGGTTGAGTGTATCCGGGTTCCCTACGATAAGCATATGCGTAAGGTACCCCGAAGGGAGAAAGAAAATTTATTTCTACCTAATGCGGATTCGACAATGCATGACTACTACACCCATCCGACTTGCTTCATTCTTGGAAGTATGTGGACATGAGACGTACAGAGTCCAGAAGAGGGACCCCTATCATCCTTGTCTATTCCTGGAGTCCGTAAAGTCCCTGATTTGAGGGAATGATGGCCCTCAAGTTGTGCGTGTGTCTTTGTGCTGTGTTTCTTGTCGCATAATACTGGCTTCCCGCTTGGGAGATTGCCCTCTAGCATTTCTGGTTGCAGAAATCCCTAATCCTTTCATGCTCCTGGCCCTAAACCTTAATCCGCACGCCCTGATTTTGCTGGCCCTGGCAAGGTAGTGACCAGTCGACCATGCAGCATCAACTGCTATACGTTCCTAGGCAGAAGTGGGCTTAAGCTTTATAGGGGGTCGAGGTGAGGGCTGAGGCGTGTCCGTTATTAGAGAAGATCCCTCTTGCAATTCTTGCAGGTAGCGTAGAGACCCCTCCGAACTGTTTAGAATTTGCGGTTCAGGGCGTAGGCTTTAGGCATCAGGGCAAGCAATCCCAACACCCTGACCCCCTGTATCCTCATGTGCAAGCCACATTCAACTTGCATATTCACATATGTATATGTAGAGCGTGGTTAAGGGTGTAGGGTTTATCAGGTTTAGCCTTAGAGGTTTTGTTGGAGGTTCATGCGTAATTGCAAGTAGAGATATACGCAGGACAATTTCAGCCACAACCTGGTTTGCGGTACCTTAAACCCTACTTTGAAGTAGCGCGGTTCCTTGACATGGAGTTTCTCAAGATGGGACGGGCCAATTTAGGCCGCAATAGAATTATGCGTGTTTTACCTGGGTTCCCGAAGAAGCACCCGCAGTTTTGCAATGCTGCTGGCTCATGTTCTCCCGTGCACGGCCTCAAATGCCCAAGCCGGCATTTACAACCGCCTGAACCTCCGACCCTGTGAGCAAAGCATCAACCCTTGAACCCCAGGCCACCAGCATGGCTTTAGATGAGCTCTGGGATGCCGCGGAGGGCCCCGTTTGGGCTCCCTAGCTGAGAATTTCCAGGCGAATGGAGGCAAACTTCAACCACTCAGGATATGTGGGGTGCATACAACTTGCTCCATCCAGCTTTCGGGTTGCAAGGCGTTTGCGAGATCTTCAAGGGACCGAAACGTTTTCGATGGCTTGTGGGCTTTTTTTTTTTTTTAAAATTGTTTTCCT